ACCCACACACACACTCACACACACACACACACACACAGTGTAGTGTGCCTTGCATGCTCATGTTTCTTACACGTGGCACATAACAGCTGTTCATCAGTTTGAACAGCTCAAGCACCTCTCCATGTATCTGACACTCGTGTTCCTCATCCCTCTCGTTCCTCGTGTTTCTCTCTCTCAGGTAGGACTCGCAGGTGTTCCTCAGGCTCCTGCAGTGACACCTGTCGACAGATGGCACAGTTTCTGGAGCTGCTGGAGGTCCGGTGACGGCAGAAACTGTGTCCACAGCTCAATAACACCAGATCACGGAAGAGATCGGTGCACACGGGACACGGCAGCTCGTCCTCAAGCGCCATTCAGAGAGAGAGAAATAAAAACAAACAGAGATTTCACTGAAAACAATTCTGACACCGTGTAAGACTTTGAAAAGAGAAGGAGCAAACAAAACACTTCCTAATTTTAGTACAGCCTGTCTGTACGAGGAAAAGACATGTCAAACTTTCATTGGAGGAAAAAAACCTGGAAAGGTCAGAAGGTCGGAAAGAATCACTAACATGTTTAATATACCTGTACACCAGGGGGCGCTCTCAGAGTCACATGCAAATCAAAATGCGAAAGCTTGGGGAATAATGTACATACTGGCAACGTATTAGAGGCATTCTATATAAACACACACATCATTTTGAATTCTTTTCCATTTTTTTTTACCATAAAAAAAATAAATTAACAGTACAAATGTAAATGTCAACAGGTTTGTGTGATAGTTAGGATTAAGGGTAGGGTTATCATTTTTAGTTGTATATTATATTAGTCATTTCCGTATCATATTATACATTGCCCTTAAATATAAACAAAAGATAGTACGTTAGTAGTATCGTGGTATAAAATTAGTAAGCCTATTGCAGCTGGATTAGAGAGAGATTTCTATAACTGTTACCAGCACATGTCCTCAGTGAGCGCTTTAAACTGTGAACTGCTGTGTTTCAGGAAGCACCGTTTGTCCCACTGCAGTATATTCCCTCCACTATTATAATCTGTAGCTATTGTCTATTGGTCCCGTATGTTAGTGTATGTTTGCCACGCCCACTAACTCTGGCAGATTCTAACCGAGCGCAGCTGCTTGTCTTAAAGGGGCCGCGACATTAAAGGCGAACAGTCCAGCTTGTAGAGTTTAATTACCGTATATTATAATCTCGCTGTCATTTACCAGATGATTGAGAGCACTGGATTCTTCTGACTTTTTCTGTACCACATTCTTTCTCTTTTTAGTAAGAAGCGCTTCCCTTTAAATCTCCTCCAGGGGCCACCCAGAGTCGCCCCGTATTTCTGTCGGTAGGCAATAAATCGCCGATGGTCTCGCTTCTCGTCCTCCGGTCATGCATCTGCTGTGTTTCTTTTCCCTGCTGCTGTGGAGCGGTCCGGCGCGCAGCTATTTCCCGGAGGAGCGCTGGAGCCCGGAGTCCGCGCTGCTCGCGCCGCGGCTGCTGCTCGCGCTGGTGTGCCGCAACTCCGCGCACTCTCTGCCGCACGTCCTCGGTGCCATCGACCGCCTCAACTACCCCAAAGACCGCATGGCTGTGTGGTGAGTCCCGGCGGACTGGATTATTGGGCGTTATTTATCAGAACTGATGTTCTGCGCAATTGCGCGTCTGACAGATGCTGACTGATGCGTTGCGCGTTGCGCGTTAACTGTAATACAGTGAGTGCACGTAAACAGCAGAGGGGTTTGTGTGTGTGTGTGTGTGTGTGTGTGTGTGTTGAGAGAGCTATCAAACAGCAGCTGTGCTTGCGCGAGTTTTTGGAGATGATGTGTGATTTATCTCTGTTTGGAAACGAGAGCAGGATAGTTGTGTCTTTACTCCTGCTGTCTCCTGTGTGCGTGGAGGGGAAATGAGCGAGTTTAGACGTGTCCAGGACACACAGACACCCCCTCCATGCCCCTCGATCAGCTCTGCCCCCCTTTCTTCCACTCATGCCGATGCAATCAGCCGACGTGTCTTTCTAGCCGCTCGTGAATGCGTGTTGCGCACGCTGATGGGATCTGTGACATGAATGGGTGTCCTGCATGAACGAGTCTGAGCTGAAAACAAAGCCTTTCCCCGAGGCGCCAGAGAGCTCATGAAATATGCAAGTCATCAAAGTAGGGAAGACATCCATGGTGTAGTGAACTACATATTGTTGATCTCTAATAATTTAGAGCATAACTCCATATTTATCAAATACTTTGATGTTTATTATTTATGATAATCTCAGTCAACAACTTCCCTCAGCCAGTACTATTTATTCTAACTTTTTCGAGGTCCATTAGGAAAGCAATACATTGAAAATACAAAACACAAAACAATACACTTTAAAAAGACAGTTATACCAATATTTTCTCATAACTGACTGGTATGGTATCACAGTAAGCCTGGGATGTGCGACACTTTATTCTTCTTCTGACACTTATGAAAAACTTTTCCGTTTGATAAAATATAACACCAAGTGAAAAAATGCAAAAAGAAGTTTGGGTTTACCTGATAAAACAATACATAGGCTACTGTTTGAAGTGCAGACTGTGTATTTATGGCTTGTCAAAGCACAATACAGACATGTTTCACCATTTTCCCATTCAGTGTTAGTGTAATGCATTACTAAGTAATTATTTACAGTAATTTAATTACTTCTTCTGGTGTAAATGCATTCAATACTAGAACAATATAAAACAATTTAACATGGAATTGTAACGTCTAATGTTATAATATTAAAATGCGGTGTAAGTAATGTTAAAGTGTATGCTTTAATGCAACCTTCTCCCTTTAAATACTTTGGTCAGTTCAAGAATAATATATGCAATTTAATATTTATTTTAAAGAATTAACAGAGCAGATTCTTGTCTATCCTTGTAATGTTCAGCTGGTTTAGAAAGTAATTAGTAATATGTAACGCAATACATTTTAGAGAAAGTAATTAGAAAAGTAATCTGATTACACTGTTGAAGATGTAATTTGTAGCAAGTAATTAATTACTTTTTACCCAACTCATTTTATTGTCCCGTTCAGAAAATAAGGACATTCAGCACTCTAAAAGTACATTTTAAGTAAAAATATTTTAAGTAGCATGTCCAAATATGCAGTATTAATGAAAATATAAGTGATTTTACCCTTCAAAAGAGACAACTAGAGCTTTTGAAAACCAGCCTATTTTGTCAATTCAGAGCCAAGTTCCCTTCCAGTGGATTATATAAAACTATTTTCATATAGTCCAAAGTAAACCTGGCTGTGATGAATGATAAAGACAACTACAGCCAATCAGGATCCACCTGACTTTAAAGAGCTGAAACATTTAAAGTGGCAGAGGACAAATCTGTGGCGAATTGATGTGGATCCCAAAACAGTTATCGATCTTGGTGTGAACGGGCCTTAAATGAGTACAAGACAAAATGAATGCAACTGTGTGAACTCTTCCTTTAATGTGAATGCTTAATTGTTGTGTGAGTTTAAAATAGCATCTGCACAGACTGCCGCTGTATGTAAAACATTTCTGACATCGTATCATCTTCGTTTCAGTCAGTTCAAAAGAGTCACAGCGGGCATTCAGAACTGAAGCATTTCTCTCAGCGTGTGGTTAACAACTGAAACCGAACCGCCGGGGTTTGTGTCGCTGCCACAAACAGACCAGAACGAAACCACGTGTGGTCCGAGACTCCCAGAAGCCATTCGGGCGGGTTCAGCGCTCGTTAGCGCTTTAGCAAACTGAAACTGAACAGTATTTAAAAGTCTTTGATGAACAGACGAATGTTTGCAGATCTGAGCGTCAGCACACACACATGAAATGCCATATAATCTAAAGCTGTGTTACAGGAATAAACTCAAACTACACTGAAGAGAGACGATGCTCTAACCATAGCATACAGCGGCAGAGCGCTGCGTTTCACGCTCTCACCAGAACAAAGACACGCCGGCAGATCCTGCTGAACATCTCAGTGGGTTTCTGTGGTCAACATCTGCTCAAGCCTTTATTTCTTACCGTTATATGGAAAGTTTGTTGAATGGGCGTGGTCGAGCCCGCGGCCGTGTGATTGGTTCTGTTAAAGGGGTCATATGATGCGATTTCAAGTTTTC